TGTGTAAACATTCAAAGATCGTCAGCCAGAGCAAAATCAGGAGAAGAAGCTTTCGGATGATTTTATCTGATAATTTTGTGTTATTTTTAGTTTCTATGACCTTAATTTGTATGTAGCAACATTTTCAGAGCTTTTTCAGCATGTGAGCAAGAAAAAGTAATGGAAAAGTAATCTTTTATTGGGAAGAAAACAAAACAGAAACTCAGGTACTTGATTTTTGAAGCTAAGGCTTTCAGAAAAGTAGAAAATATTGCAAGTTAAAATAGGTGCCAATTCACAATTGTATTTTAACTCTTGCTTAACTTGACTCTGGGCATGGAAAGAAAATGTGTTTGTAATTATTATGATTAATTTGTATTTCATTATCATCTTAATGCCTCAGTCAGGATTTGGGCTTCTTATGCTATGAGCAATACGGACAGAGCCAAAAGATAGTTTTGTGTATATGTTATATATGGAGATGTTCCAGGCATGGAGCATGCCAGCCAAACATCATACTGAGATATTTACTGGCCAGCTGTAGTATGGTCTCCTGAGGAAAGTGTGCTCCAGTTTTCCGGTGCGATTTTGACCATTAAGGAAGTCCTTCTCCTATACACAGTTCCCTTAAATGAAATTTGGAAGTATGTTTATTCACATCCCATCCCATGCTGATGAAGATGTGAAATTCGTAAAAGGAAGGATAAAATGAATTAAAAGCATCTCAGCCAGAATGCATCAATGAGAATGCATTACAAACCTGAAAATTACATGATGAATTTCATCTTTTGCTTTGGGAGTTCTTTATTTTGGCAGATGTGAGAAGTTTCTGAGGAACACACTTGAATTAGAACTTTTCAGTAGTGAAGCAGGAAGTTAATGACTTTAGAAATCTGACGTCTTTATCTCATAATGTGCTTTGAGGATGGGATGGTAAAGGGGCTAGAACATTTCTGGTGTTCCAATCACAAAGCAAATATGGAGCAGTATTTTAAATTACATATTAAAGTAAACTTCTCAATTTATGTCTTCCTGTGAAATAGGTGCTGGTGGATTTTTGATATCTTCCTATTTAATTGTGTTGTATGAAGGTTTAAACAAATGGAATTATCAGAATTACACAGAAATATAAATAATAATTAAAAAAAATTTTACTAGAAGGAGTTACATATCTCAGCTCTGTTATCTAAAAACATACTACTTATACTAGCTAACATAAATGACTGATTAACTTTTCAGTGGTTCCCTAAGGTAATGTGTTAGCACATTTCTGATAGGGCGGACTTTAAATAAGACAGTTAGGGGACAGTTTAAGCACTGGCTGTATCTCAGATCTGCACAGAGCATACATACAAACACTGACTAAAGAGTTGAAGTGATATATTTTAATACAGACTTGATGATTTGTAGCCTGTACAGAAATGCACTGCATGACTTTTAAGTTTTTGAAATGATAATAAGTAAAAGATTGTTTTCAGAATATAGTAACTGAATTACCTTAAGAGCATGAGGAAAAAAATGTATCATTGGTCGGATCACTTTAAAGTTTCCATTTGAATGTATAGTACTGCCTTTTGTTTTTTAGGACTTGGCCAGACTGCTGTATTACCACTGCCCAGGAGGGAAGCCTGTGCTATTATTCAAATATTTATGGAAGCTGGTGAAAATAAGAAAATGAGGGGTGGACTTTAGGTGATTCTTTCTATTCCTTGCCTTGCACAAGGGGAATAAAATGTGGATTTATTTTACTATAGTCCATTGTAGAATTTAAGAGCCAAGAAAGGCTTCATCTAGACTTAAAAGGCTGGAGCCCTGCAGTGTACTCTGAGGTTTTGATTTCACAAACAGGAGATTTGTAGGGACTGGGAGATGGAATGGAACAAGAAGAGTTTGTTTCTTCCCTCTGTGTCCATAGTTTGCTCTGTTGTGAAAATAAAATACAACTCGAGTACCATGAGCATTAGTGAACCAGACCCCTCGTGTCTCTTGGTTCACAGGTAGCTTGAGCACTCAGGCCTGCGCTAGGCGTTGTACAAACCCGTTGCTATAGTAATAGCTGGTTTCTGCCCCAAACAATTTGCAGCCTAAACAATAGACATAAAACTAATGATGTTCATACTTGTTAACTTTTAGTTTAGGACATTCTTACTGATATATGATAGAAGTGCATTCATTCATAGATATTACTCATTTCACCAGTGTTACTTGTGCAGAGCCACCCAACCTATATATCCCACCGTGACCCTAAATTATTCTTTATGATATTATCTGTTTGGAGGAGCCTGTCATTTTAATATCCAGTACTTATCTAGTAGAAGCAGTCATAGATTTGTATTTATACAAATACACAAATGCAAAACACCCTATTTAAAGGGTGAATAGTTTAAAAATGGACTTGATTTTAACGGACACTGCAACGTTAACCCATCACATAAACTCTGCATTTGTAGCTGTATAGACTACCGGACAGTCTGTTTCAGTATTTCATATCGCTATTGTGACTCTTGAATTTACATTAAAAAAATGACTTTTAAAGTTTTATTTAGGTGATTCCAACAATTCTTTGAAAGTGCACAGTTAATGACTGTGGGTTTTCAGAATTAAAACGTAGGTGAATAAAGGGCAGTGAACATTAACCACAGTCTCTGGCAGAAGCCAGAACAAAATTTTTCATTTTGAGTATAAATAGTTTTTTAAAGGGCAAAGGGTTTAAGATATAGTTAGCTTCATTAAAAAGGTGACAGTTCACTTGTTTCAGCATTTCACGCGAAGAATTGTGGCCAATTAAGTGATGAATGCATTCAGATACTAGAGTGGTTACATTTATATGATAGAACTTCGTTATCAACATTTTTGAATTAGGGTAGAATATTGATTAACAAACAGGCAGGAGAACTGGAATATTTTCACAAAATACTTACCTCGCATAGTGCCATATTTTTTTCGCATTTGAGCTTAAATCAATACTGAAATATTTATATATTTTTAACCTAATATGGCTAGTAATGAACAACAGCTCTGTGACCGCTTAAACAATTGTCATCTTCTTCATTACATAGATATTTCTTCTTTTTTTTTCTTTTTTTTTTTTCGTAATGTAACTCAGAATGGCCGCTGCTGCCCAGTACTTTCTACTGGAAAAAAAAGCAGATGTGATTTTTCTAAACTATCTAAGTAAAAATTCACTGACGTTGTGTATGTATGGATATATATACATTCAAAAGAGGAGTGTGCTGTTCTATGACCTAATTCTGCTTTGAGTCTAATTGGTTATTTGCACATGCAATTATCTGATTTATGTTCACAAATTTGTAATTACATGTGCAAGTTATATACAGAGATGAATGCAGATGCTTAGAAAACAAGCCTTGAAGCAGGACTGTTCATTCCAAGTAAAGTTCATACATTTAAATCGTTGTTTCAGGCCATCTGCAGACTCTGACAGACATAACCACGTCAGTTACCCTTGCTTCACATTACAAATCATCTCAGCAATATGAGGTAGAAACTTATTTTTTTCTTTAACTGAAAGCTTAAAATTCATTTAGCTTGTGCCATTATGGGTCAAACCTGCTTTTTTGACCTGTTAGCCCTATGCTTGGAATTTTTGTTATAAACATAGTTGATGGTATTTTGAGGGGATTTTTTTTAGAAGGAAAATACTGGTAAAATATGAGAACAGTTGAGGAACAGACAGGCTTTGCTTCTATTACAGTTTGAGGTTTCATGTCAGTGGATAATTGCGTTAGCAGGAATCATTGTACTTGCATATTTAAATCATGGGTGCGGCTTATGCTGAAAGCTTGAGGGAAATGAGAAAGGCATCTGTTATAACTTGACAGAATGCGTATTTGTGGGATGCATGTACTTTAGACACTGCTTTTGCCCATTTTTTTGTAGTTGTAAGAATTGTTCCGTAAAGCTAGCAGTGCACACAGCTATACCTTTTGCCAATTTTTGTTGTTGATACTGCCAATGTTCCTCAATGAGTTTCTTCAGGATGTCCAGCGCTGTGATCTGCGTATCACTTTTGGATATTCTGAGTACTCTTTCTGAAGCCAAGTTTATCAGTTTCAATTCAATAAAAATTTACCAGCAATAAAATATGGTTTAAATATACTCATGAGTTCTGTTTAACATTTATATTTCATTGTTCATTCAGACTTATTTTATACTCTAGATTGTATTGCTGTCAGCATCGGTGGCTTATGTTTCATAGTTATTACATAATCATGAAAGCCAACTTAGATGTTTTAAGAACTTTTAGGCATATCTAATGTTTCAGCCAATTTGGATGAAGTACTGAACTTTTTGGATTGATTTACTTCTGACATCATAACTCTGCTACGCAAAAGAAATAGATTAATTTCTTATCTGTTTTTCTCTTTTCCCTAGCTGACTTAAAGCTCTCAGTTTCACTAAGAGAATAATCACATTTCAGCAATATTTTAAAGTTATGTACATTCACAGTTGTATTCTAATCTGATACTGTAATTTACTCCAGTAACACTCAGATTTCTAAATGGTTTTATTTTCTTTCTTGCCCTTTGGGTCATTCATTTATTCAGGTTGTATAGTCAGTAAAGCAGAATCTTTTTCTTAGATCCTTTCATTGTATTTATTGTGGGACTTCTAGTGTCAAGTGAGAGCTGACAGAAGCTGCTGTAATATATATTCTTGTACTCTTGAGTAGCAAGAATATTCTTCATCTTGCTGAAATGCAGAGTGACTGGGCTGTAATATTGAGGAAGATGGAAATGTTATGATATTTACAGGATTTGTCGCTTAGGAAAAGAAATAATGCCACAAGGTCTTCTCTAGCCACCAAAAGCGTAGTATTCAAGAACTAAACAGAGCTCCTGTGTTACTGCAACAAATCCCTTTGAAATGGGATACAGAATGCAATATATTTTTTTATTTGGCTTAATAATTTATTCTGTTGACAAATTGGCGCCACAGTCCTGGCCAAATATCTATTTTTGATCATTTTCATTCAAAAAGAGCCGTCCAGTATACTGTCACTGACATGTAATAACATTTCATGACTTTGCTTTCTCCGCTACTTATAGCACAGTCTAACTCTTTTCAAGATCATTGGTATACTTCGTTGTGAAAATTTTTAAACAGAACTGTATTTATTTTTTCAGCACTGTTTGCTGTCTTAATAAATCTATCGAATATATCATGAGTTCAGCACTAACTATTGCGTGAGAACATTTTCTGTTTAACTGTGAGAAGAAAAATAAATTTAAGGTAATTACACTGAGAATTTTATTGTTTTATACTACTGCTGCAAGTAAAAAGGACATGGTGTGTTTTCTAATGTTTGTTTTACTAACTGCCGAAATAGATATATGCCCGATCTTAGAATTACTTTCTTTTGCATTGTTCTTGAATGGGAATGGAAGGGGAAACATTTAAAATAGTGCAGTATAAAGTGTGCATCAACGTATGTTGTCATTTTTTACCTTTAATATGCTAGTTCAGTGCATTAGAAATATTTATGAAGGTTACCTTGGCAAGTAAGTCTTTTCCAATGAAAGGAATTAAATTACACAAAAGGTTTAGTCAGTCTTCCCAGACTTTATTTTTCAGAATTGACGCACCCTTGGCTCAGGTCTTATTAGTGTGAAAGCTGCACTTATGACACTGAGAGCAGCAGGGAAACAAAAATGGAAGGGCCGTGTATGGTAGAGGAAGACTCCTGGCACGGGTTTGATTATTCCCATCCTCGCAACAAGTCAGCAGGTAGTCTCAGGGTGGTAGGCTGAGACACCCTCAGTCCTTTTGCAGTGACCACTGTGTTGCCAACCCATAATTACCATTTTCAGTGGCTGTTCACCTAAATTTCATTCAACCTACTGCTTTGAGGTCCAAAGCTTTGTGTCTGTCTACTGGCTCTGAAGCACTGAGGGGAGGGAGAAAAACTCAGAAATAAAGCCTAAATTTTCAGTATGTACCTAAATGAGAAGTGTAAATGCTGATGTTGCTAAAATTGATATTGATATTCAAAGCTGTTCTAAGCAGTTCTAAGAACATCAAAAATACATTAGATAAATGCACCAAGTGCCGGTTACACATTTGCTGCCTATCATTTCCTGAGTATAATTCTCCTTCCACACCCACCTCCAATATTTCTGTGCACTGTTACCTCATAGAAAGGTTAAAATTAAAGGTGTGAGCCTAAACGTAGAAAATTGGCCCTACAAATAGTTTTGGATAGAAAAGGAGTTTACTTTCTTAGAGCTGGTCAGAGTTGCTATTCTTTTTAGGGACACCTCATGCATTGAATAAAAATAATTTTAAAGAATGAAGCATTGCTCATGTAGAGTTAATTTTGCACAACTCCTTCTCAAAGCTAGGGCACTGGAAAAATAAAGATCCAATCACTGCTTTAGCCCAGCCGTGCTGCCCACACTTCTCCTTTTGTGCTATATATTTTACTGTGCAATCAGTAATCTATAAAATGCTAGTAACACACTCTGAGAGGTATATACTACTCGTGAAGAATTTCAGCTGTTTTGGAACCAGCACCTTCCTTTGTGTTCAGAAGTCTAATAGAAATCAGTGGGAGGTCTGTGTGCCCAAGAGTTGCAGAATAAGAACCTCAAGTTTTAGAGCCAGTTGCTGCCTGTTGGCAGACAGTGAAAAGAGCAGAGTGTAAAGTCTGCTTGTTTTTAAAGAGCTTAGATAAACCCGTACCTATTTTCCCCTCACCTCGTTCCACATGATTGTGTGGGACCAGATCTTCTGCTGATTATGTCTGCTTTTATTAGTTTTGTGCTACCAAAGGGATTTCTAAGAGCAAGCTCACAGTTTGGCAATACAAATGGAGAGGTACAAAATTGTAAAAGTATAATCAAAGCACAACATTTAAGCTGATAATAATGACTGAATCTTCTTTTTTTATTCTTTAATTCAGCCGCCTATTATTGGGTAAATTCAGTAAGATTGGAATGATGTAAAATTAATGTATGTTGATCAAAAGACCAAAAGTGAACTATTCTCCCTTCAAAGAACCCGTAGTATTTCAGGACAACCATACCTTCAGCTCCTTCTTGTGGTATGTGTCTTATAGCCAGTCACAGTAAAGGAGACAGATGCATCCTTTCCTTCGTAGATGAAAATACTAGTGCCACAGTATGGGTCGAAATATTTGTGAAAGTTAAAGGGATGAAATACAAGTCTGACAAAAATTTAATGTATTTTCAATGTTTCCGGAAAGTGGCCTGAATATGTAATTAGCTGATGTAAATGAAGACAATACTTCTTGCCTTTTTTGAGTTTCAAAATTCAACACTCCACATCTGAGGTCCCTGTCACATAATGGTATATTGTAATTGTAAGTTGTGATGATCATATACAGACATAAAGTTCACTTTTCTGTGGGAATGTCAATGAAGCCCTCAAAAAATCTGGGAATTCTGATACAAAGCCTATATAAGGTGCATAACTTCTAATGTATTTAGACCTTTCACTTTAAAAACTGGATACTTAGTGATCTGTGGTCCTACAGAAGGCTCTCATTTCCTTCCTCAGCATGTGTTGAGAAACTTCGCACATGAAATGCTGAAAGTTTTAGAGAGAAAAAATTCAAACTTACGTACTTATAAAAGCAAAAATAGTAACAATGTTTATATTACATCTCCTTTTTAATGGGTAAACAAGGAACTAGTAACTTCCCCTTTGACTTCTCCTCAGCTTTTTAAAACAGTTAATCATTAGAGCTTCCTTGAGGTTTTTACTTGTCCGATTTCTGTTCTCTCTAATTTAATCTTCTTTCCTCAAGGAATGAAACGGTAGAGAGGAAGACCAGTTATGACTTCCAGATGTAGGCCCATTTCTTCTGCTGTCTTCTTGTTGAGTCCCAAAAGACTTCTCTATATTGGATGTTATGTATTCACAAGCCTTATGATGGCTTTTTGAGTTCTGGCACTTCGGCCTGTTTATCTCATCTCTAAAAATTCTAAACTCTGGTCATCTTCAAAATCAGCGCGAGTCAGCTTTGAATGGTTCACCCATTTGGATAATTAGCATTACCTTGAGAAGTCAAATGTGTGTTCAGAAGAACTACTGTTATTCTGTTGATTTTAGTCAGAGAAAAGTAAGACAAAACCTTGCAATATCTTTTACATTTATGTACTAGCTTAAATATCACACTAAAACTTTAGCGGGCAAAAAGAGTATTATCAGCGTTTTTAGAGGACAGTTTTATGTATGTGAATGAGCTCAACTAGAAGAATAACTTGCACTGCTCTGGCGTTTCAGTATGTCTTTTGCATAACAGAGCTCATACTTATTTAATACATTATTTCATTTTATTTTCATAGTGAAGGCAAATCAGGAAGTAAAAGTGAGAATACTTTGAGTCAGGCTTGTTATCTTGGAATGAAAGCAAGCTTGTCCTAATGTAAAAATAAGTAGCTTGTTACTATGAGCAAATTTAGGGAAAAATCACTGAAAAAATGTTAAACTATTTTTAATCATTCATGATCATTTTGATCATGATACTTAAACATCATTATGACCATTATGATACTTTAACTCACTAGCAGTACTTGTATTTTTTAGAGTTGTTTATAATGTCGTTATAAAATGATAATGAATTGCAAAACAATGTGCACATTTTCAAGCTAGAATCAAAATTACTTTTTTTAAAAATAATTTTTATGTTTCAATTTTTTACAACTTTTGTAATGATTCATACAGATTTTCTTGCAATTCTTATCACCTATTTTTTGAGAATAGGTCCTATAAATTGAAAGCATTGCAATTTATAAATTTGGTTAATGAAACCAGTACATTATATAAATAACAATTTAAGACAATTATTATTACATATTCAGTTATTAGGGAAAATTGGTGTGTGCTTAATTTAACCAATCAGTGGCTTACTCATTTTAACTGTATATTACGTAGTCTGCTATGACTCTAAATTAGATCTTCCAAACTTCAAAAAATAATTCTTGCATTTGGTTTTCTGTCTTTTCATGATTAACAATCATTCCATAAATAGATAAAAGCCTTTTTATAGTAAGCTTGATTGGTGCTTCGTCACTTAAAAATGATATCAGGATAAAATGACTTTACTTCTCAGAAATTTTGTTTAAATATTGTTACTTAGATTCAAACTGGGAGCTTAGAACAACTTTATAAAAGCACTTAATCAGTAAAGTTGTATTTTTGGGCTCATTTATGGCGTTGATTGCCACAGTCCTGTTGTACAGAGTAGCACAATCAACTTAATTGTAGAAGGAGACCAGTGGAGGAGTTGTGCCTTAGCTACTGCAATCTATAATTTGCTGCTTGACCTTTTTTGACTGATCCTGTCCATGGGTGTTGTCTCTTGGGCTTTTGGTTTTATTCTGCTTGTGTACATCCACAAAACCTGCATCTGAGACAAAAGCATTCTGACTTTACCATTGACTATGTTTGATAGTAAGCATTTATGCATTAAAGTGAATCTTTGCAGGAGTGAACTTGTTAATTTTTAAAGACTTGTAAGCCACTACTATGTTGTGCATTATGATGTAGCACTCTGCTTATGCTTTTTATGCTGTTGTCACACCCTTTCATGCTCATATAAGAACTGTAATTTGAGAACAGTGCATCATCATAGGTATTTAAATCAAGCCATTAAGGTTTTCTTGCATACTGGGATTTTTTGAAGGGTGAATATATTAGAAACACTCCATTCAAATCAGATTATTTTTGTGTTTAATTTTTATCTTTTATATTTTTCGTGCTATTCTTGTTTTGATTGTAAATCACAAAGGAAATTTCAAAGAAAAAGGAAGACATTTGATTTTGTTCTGTGATGTCTCAGTATGAGCTAGGATAAGATGATATTCTTTTTCTACAAGTCTTTTTCTTGCAGTTGCCAACACATGAGGATTTTGTATGTATTAAAGAAAACTAAAAATCCCAAACCAATCAAAAAATGATCAAGCTTATAATATTAATAATGACCTCAGCTCAGGACATTAAATTGGGAATTAATGATCAGTTAAGGTTAATGACTCAATGCCTTGAGTCATTAAATTCCAAGAAAATGTTCTGCATTTTGATTGTTTTTGGTTTATTAAAGATAGGTTGTAGAAGTTAAAAAAAAAAACAAAAACAAAACACTCTCTTTTGAAATGTGTGCCCAGAAAAAGTAATCATTTTATTACTTGCCTCCTTCTGCAATCCCAGTATAGGTAAAAATCCTGTTATACTTGATGAGAGTTTTTTTAGTCTAGGGATGTAAGGAGCAAAACCTTTGACAGCCACCTCTTTTTCTCTCTTATTTGGAAGTTAATGAAGAAATCCAAATGTCTGGCAAAGCGTAGGTTAACACTGCAGTGTTAGAACTGCGCATCACCTTTTCCAGTGAAATCATTTCAACATGCCCCCTAAATAAGCAGTTATTGGGATATTGCAATAGCACCATATTAGGATCTGTACGTAGGAATACAAACCTTTGGGTATGCATTATATGTAGCAGATACCTATTTGCATTTAGTGGGTAATAAGTATTTTCATTGTAATCTGTATCTAATTTGTATGCTACTTACACAGTCCAGGAGATGGAAAGTTGTATATGTGAGCATTTAACAGACAAGGAGTGTTTAAACCTGAAGCCCTTTAATTATCCTTACTGGGCAGATGTAAGCTGCAGTGATGGCAGTTGTTCAACAATATCTTACAAATAGTTCTTAGTCCTTTTTGAAATAAAGCAGTATATTTGAAGTAAGGTGACTTAGTGAAATTTTCACTTTAAATAGAATAAGGGTTAAATGATAACTTGACTTATCTTTTAAATGACAAAAAATAAAGAAATTGCAAGACCTTTTCACACATTAGATATGTATTGTCATTTATCATCTAGATATCAGGCTAGCAGTGCGAAGTAATAAAACATATCATCGAAAAATGTGCTATAGGTCTGAATCACTCTTTCATTCCACCTCCCAGCTAACTGTAGTATTAAATCAAACAAGCAGAACATTTCCTTAGGCAGCCATTGCCTTTTAATTTCCTGAAGAACCTTAAAATATCATTCATTACAAGTACTACACATATTTGGTTTTTAAAAGTCTCATAAATCAATAGCAGGCTGACTGTAATAATTATTACAAGTTAGTGCATAATTTTCGTGCTGAAGGCTGCATGCAGAACTTTAGCATATGCAAACGAGGCAATTCAAACTGTGTATAGATATTAATATGAAGAAGCAGGTAACGAGGTGCAGGCTATGAATTATGCATCAAGAGCGGCTGATCTTCAATGAGGAAAATGAATTCAGCATGTAATCTAATTAGTGATGGAAGTCTATTACATCTAACTGCAAAAGCAACCGTCCTTGAAACAAATTTATTTACAGTCCATGTTACCACTTGAAACAACTTTGAAATGATGTGTAAGACAACAGCTTAATTGTAAAAATTTTTTGTTTGTTTGTTTCAGTTCTAGACCTGGAAGGCCTCCTAAGAGGACTCAAAGTGTCACCTCCCCAGAGAATTCACATATCATGCCGCATTCTGTCCCAGGCCTCATGTCTCCTGGAATCATCCCACCAACAGGTAGGATTGCTAGAAACACGTTAGCTAACCGTTTGCCATCTTTTGCATAGCTGACTGATATCCACTTTATTAATAAATTAACAATCTAAACAAAAACACCCTCATACCACAGATGAGTTCTGTAGTGTGGGTTATAACGTGATTGCTACAGGAACATATTGTACATAATGGAAATTTTGGTAGCTCAATAAATAACTGAGCAAAATAGTAATCCTTTACTTTTTTTTCCTCTTTACTTGTTCTTTATAAACAAAAACCTTTCAGAGCATGAATTACCTTAGCTATTGTTAGACAATGACCTCCCTATTTTTTTTTCTAGAGAAGATCAGATATCTTCTGATTTTTTACTCCTTTGCTTGATTAGATAGTCATCATGAGTACAGTTGCCTGAAGAAACTGAGTTAGCTACACACGTCTTTCTTAATTTTGCATCCTCAAATTCTATTTTTGGTATGCCTCCTGAGGCCTTATACTCACGTGAAGTCCAGTAGCAATCTGTTTCTCAAACTACTATTTATTTTCTTTAGAAAGTTACTATAATACCTTCTAGCAGCGACTTACTCCTAGACATAGTCTCACTGAAATTATGAAGGACTATGTTGCAGAAAGGCAGTGAATAGACACCTGAAGATGGAGGAACCCAACAGTCAAGCTATTGACTCTGATGCCACATTCTAGCTCTTCATGTTACAAACAATTTAAAATCTCCTGCTTCTTTCAGCAGGAGCTGATCTGAGCTGCTTCCCCAGTTGCTCCTCACTTGTTTGCACAGCTTAATCTCTAGCACCGATGTTCTCTAAGGCAAAGAAAGATAATCTAGAGATCCACATGGAGGATAGGGTTGCTGGGTCCTGGAGATAACAGGGTCAGGATGGATGTTAAAACACTTGCCCATGTCTGCTTCAGTGTGAGCATGATCCTTGACATGGGTTTTGTCATAGCTGACTAATGCTGTCCAAAACGATGCACAGTTTAAGGAATATCTCATGCCAGAGACTGCTAACAGTTTGGGTGCAGGTATCCTATCTAGAAGGGAAAAGAATTTAGCTCTTTGGACACAAGGGAGCCACCTCTCTTGGCCCTAGGGCCAGGAAACTGTTTTACATAGTGATACAGACATAACAGAACAATTTTATTGGGAACTTAATGTTTTTTGAAAGGCTAAAGATCAATAGCAGGGACAAAATGAGGAAAGGTCAGACAGCTAAGGTGGTAACAGGGTATTAAAGTAAGCAGAGGGAAGGGGAGGGATGGGTTTGAAAGTGTAGATGTGCATGCAGGAAGGGTGTCAAGCAAGCAGGGCTCACAGTGATAGCCTTGGCAGGTGTGACCAGTGAAAAAATCAGTCAGAACAAGAAAAATCCTGTAAGAAAGGAATTATGGGATAAAATCTAATAAATACATTTGATGCAGAGGGGAACAGAACATGAGAATAGGAGATAGGGTCTATATAGGGAAAGTATGAAAGTTTTTATAGGGCACAAGCATTGGTGTTTGTGAGGAAGAGATCAAAAAGTGCAGATGCAAAGGGAAATTATTTGGGGGAATAAGAAAGCAAATATTAAAGAAATAAATGCAGATGAAAAGTAGAAAGGAGATGACATGAAAGAAGTCAGAGAGAAATAAGCAAGCAGAAAAGAGGAAGAAAAAAATGACAACAGAATCATTTTTGGATTTTGTTTTGCAGATAATAAATAAGAGCAGATCCCCTCATGATATAATATCTTCTTTTTTTTTTTTTTGCAATTTTTTTATTATAAGGAACAGCTTAAAAAACAAAACTAATGCTTAACGTATCCAGTTCCTCCCTAGTCCTTTAAAACTGGTCATGAGTTAATCATAAAAATGCAGTACGGAAAACACAGATCCAATTTCTTAGAACATCAGCCTACAAAAACAAATGTAGGAACCTTTCAAAATGGTGATAAATAAAAAAAAAAAGAAAATAATTTAGAAGGAAAGACAAGAGGTATGTATAAGATTATAATTCATAGAATATTATTGGGATGATAATGCTTTGCAGGTCTCTGGCAAAAGAGGAAAGGTTTAAATGAAATAGCTATTAAATTTGAACCGATTTCACATTACATGGCTTGCCACAAGAAAAAGAATAAGCATGATTTTTCCAGTTGTGGTGGTGAGTCTCAGAGAGTACAAAAAATGCACACAGTGACCTTAATAGAAACAAGTTCTGGGATATAGTGTTCCACGGAGTATGGCTCAGCAGAGTGAAGGAACTTCATGATAGCAGTGCTATAAGGCAGTCATTCCACCATTTTATAGACAGACAGGTATAAACATGGGCCAAAATTATCTATTCCTGAAAGCTGAAATCAGTGAGTGGTTGTGCATTTACCTTGTGAGTAAGCAGCAAGCACCAAAGCCATTCTCCCAAGAGAGGGCTGTGACTACAGTAGATGATGCAGGTGCCATTTTATATGCTACTGCTTTAGTTGGTAAAAGAAAATCCCTGCCACTTGTGAACATTTTCCATGATATTTTCGCTGTATACTCACAGGGTCACAGAACAGTTGAGGTTGGAAGGCATTTCTTGGGATCATGTAGTCCAAAATGCCTGCTCAAAGCACGGTCAGCTAGAGCAGGTTTCTCAGGACCATGTCCAGCTGTTTTTGAATAAATCCAAGGATCGGGACGCCACAATCTTCTGTATTTCTGTTTGTGCTCATTGCCTCTTGTCCTTTCACTGGATACCACTGAGAAGATTCTGACTCTGTCTTCTTTTGTCTCCTCATCTGATTTTTATATACGTTGATAAGATCCCCTCGAGCCTTCTCTTCTCCATGCTAAATAAGGGGTATCTATCTTGAGCAATCCCTTAATTATCTTAGTGACCTTAAGGTGACTCCTTTGGAAAGCTTAGTAAGTTTGAATACTTTTAGGATCCAGCTATAAGCAGAAAAAAATCAAAATATTAAGTATTTTTTCTTTCCCCCTCTCTCTTTTTTTTCCTAACAAATCCTCCTTTTTCAGTTTTCTGCCTGATTTAATAATCTTAATAAAATCACTAAGTTTCCTTCCTGCCTAAAGGTAGGATTACTATTAGGATTGAGTGATTACTGTGAGTAATCACATATCATAGCACAGAGATCTGAAGATATTGGATATATCTAGGATATACGATGCTATGATTTAATGTATGAATTTTACTTGAAAATTTTCGTATTACTAAGAAACAAAATCTGCTGCATAATACAGAAATAGTATGCATCTATATGTGGAATTACTGATTTCAAAAGGAGGTTGCTATTTTTGCACGTGCCGCTTCTCTATGCAAATAGCATTGCTACAAAACTGTATACTGAGCTTTGTTCATGGAAATTCCATAACTGCATGTAATTTTTGTAGGAGGCCATCTTAAAGATCCCTTGAAAATATGTTCAGTTACTGGTTCACCCTGAAGTTGCATTCAGAGAACGTTTCATTGTCACCTGGAATAGATCTACTTTAGAGAAGTATTTAGGGAACAGGCTAACATAGACTCAGTATAGTAGGAGAAGAAAAGGAGGAAAAAAAGCAGTAATACGCCAAAGTCTCTTTGGGAGCATAAGCTGAAGAAGACAGGATCACCTCTTGGGTGATTTTCTGCCCATTTTATCACCAGATCGTAAAGGTTACCTGCAATTGCTGATCTAATGACTGTTTTTCATTAGGGCAAATTTACAGAATGTTCCCAACTTTGGAAAAGGACTGACCAGCTGACAAGCAATAGTCTCATGCTTATTAAATTAAATGTAGGACATTTGAAGGTGTGATAAAAGGAGAGAGGTGTAACAGGAGAAAATGAAGAATTTGTTAGGTTAAAAACCGCTGATGTAGTTACAAATGAAGCTAGAGATGGAGTCAGCAGAAGAAAGAAGAGTTTGGTACCGATCAGATAGGTATACTGACTTTTCAGTTTATCTGGATAATGCCTTCAAGCCCTTCCAAGACTGGATTGTTTGTCGTAGTTAAATTAGATCCTCATCTCTCTATGGCTGTATCTGCTGCAGATCTTTTTTTTTTGGCTAATGTGCTTTGTAGACTTCAAAAGTTGTCTAAACTTGGAATGGCAGATAATTTTAAGTAATCAGAAAAGCGGCACTGTACTTTTTGAGTACAGTGTGCGATACACATTGTGCTCTACATTTTTTATATTTGTGGTTATTATATGATGGATAAAATATTTCCATTATTTTTACATGAACTTTGAAAGCAATTTTGTTCACTTTTCAATTAATAATTTTGTCATTATTCGTAAGCAGGTGTTTTAGGTTTTGAAACTATTTCGTAAAGCTGTTTTTCATTAGGGCAAATTTACAGGATGTTCCCAACTTGATTCTTCTGCAACATGGCCTACTGAGTCTCTAATCTAGGGTACTGAAAAAAGTAACTACAAAAACCTCCTACTTATTTCAGGAGCTGCATTTTTCTCCCAGAGATGAAAAGTGAATATAAAACGCTTTTGGAAATACCTAATTAAGGGCGTGATAAGAATGCTACTTTCTGTATGCATAGTTTTTCCTTTGTCCAGTGATTTCAAAGCACTTGGTATGTTTAATTTTATTACATTAAGTTAATCTCATATTAAGTTAACCTCATTGGCTATTATTATTGTTATTATTATTATTATTATCTTGAACAGATTTGCTTAAATGGTAGGCACTTCTTTCTCCACTTATTCCACATCTTATACTAGACTCATTTTTTCAGTGTAAGGGCTCTTCTGAAACATTCAGATATGTTTGAGTTATAACTAGTTTCCTATATTAAATGCTCTTGTTCTGTTCTTTCCATTTTTTCTCCTTTTAAGTGATAATTTGAAGATGTTGTTTCTAATCTCATTCTTATTTTCTCTCTTGCACTGTGGCCTGAATCAATAAAAATATATTCCAACTTCCACCCTGTGCAAAACTCTCTGAGCCAAGAAGCATTTTTCCGGGAGGATTAGGGCAGGGAGAGAGTTGAAAGGTTTTGTATAGATTATTTCGGCATGGAGGACAAATGGAGTTCACAGATGCAGCTGTTGATAAAGTGTGGAAATGTTTCTTCTAAAATAGAAACTGGAATTATTTAATGCTTAAAGAAAGATTAATCTCATAATGCAATAATTTCATTTTTATTAGCTTATGGTTATTTGATATAGTATTAGGCAGAAGTGAAAGAGAATGGTTAAAATGTAATCATCACTGTTATTTTACCCGCATCATATTAGGAATTACCAAGAAACAAAATCTGTAGTTGAAATTATTTTCTCCTGGTAGTGTCATTTCTGTAAAGTCTTAAGAAAGTATTTAACTTACCAAAATGAATTGTGTTGAGTTATAAGAGTATTTCAGGGTCTAGAAATTAAAATTGTGAGTTATATACTAAGGAAGTTTGAGATACAAACCTGTTATGCAGTTATTTATTTTATGTAGTGCACAAATGTTGAGCCAGTTTATCTGTTGGGAATGAGCTAACATATTGCAAAAGTAAGCATCAAAATCCTACTTTTAGATTGACAAACTGTAAGCTAATTCAATAAACTGAATCAGATTACACAAGCATTTTTGTACTTCATTAAGGAAGTAGTCATAATTAATGTGAAAGCTTCTATCATGTTCACTTATTGAAGTATCATGGGAAGATGTCCTGACTAAACTCTGTAAATATACTATTTCATAGTTTGTGAGGTTTTTTTAATTAATGTTTAATTCAGGCCACCTGTGCTTTTCTGAAAGCCCTGTCATGATTTTGTGATATTATCATCCTGTTGAATGGATAGCCTTTTTTTTCTACTTTCATCGCAAGAGTTTTGATAATTAACTGAAAAGCAGTCCTTAGCTCACTAGTTTAAGTTTCAATGAGTCCCTTAAGTTCACTAGTTAATAATAGAGTTGATTTTCTGTTTAGCCACAAATCTTATAAATCTGCCAAAATTAAATTATTCAATTTTACAGTAAGGACACAAGACAGGGTGGGAGCATCAGTGCTTAGCTATATAATCTCAGGCATATGCAAATTCATTCTTTTCTGACTTTTGATGTTTTACTCCTCAGCCTTCATTTTATATGAAGTGTTATAGTAAAATGAAATTTACTCTAGTATATGAACAGAAAATATTAAGTGATATAAATATAAGAATTTACTACAGAGTCCCTGTAATCAAAGGATTGAACTCCTGTGAACAGTCAAAGATTTCTGAAGCTCTTCGAAAGAAAATAGGATATGACTACATGGTTTATTATAAGCAAATGTATGGAAGATCTTCAACCGGGCAGATTATAAACCATTTCCGAATCTAAAGATATTTAACCACATTTGCTTCTTACTCATACCTTATTTTCTGTCTAGCCTTTCCTGAGCGAGAGAAGGGTTTGCATGCCTTTACTTGCAATAAGCCATGTAGACATAGCTGTATTCATTCATAAAATTGGTTTTAAACCAAGAATTACTTACAGAAGTATAACCTTTTTATTAACAAATTTTTAATCAATAAGAACAGGTACATTTTGCAGTATTATACCATATAACACAATATATAAATACACACACACACACACACATACACAAATAAATATACACATATTAAAAAAAAGTAACATGAACATTAAAGTCATGCAGTCACACATTAAAGGTTAAAAATTCCAAAATCAGAGCTTCCCATAAAAATCTTAATATAGGCTTGTATGTATTCTTTATGGAAGCTTCTCTCAAAATCACTTGAAGAGTCTGTGTTCTTTGTTCTACCTCAGTCTATCTTTCCTGGCTTGCAGTCTCATATCACTAACGCAACAGAAAATGTTCTCCTTTGCTGTACTGTCTCTTTTGCTGACATTTCTATATGAAGAGGAAAAGCTTTCTTTCAGAATAAGTAACATATGATTGTATAGGCTGTTCCTAAATAGCCTCAGGTTCCCAATTTGAGGTTTTGCCTTTGCAACATTGATCTTTAAAAATAGAAATTGATAAAATTTTCAAGTTTTTCAGTAACACAGAACCTTTAGAAATTCTGTTATTTCAGTCACAGAATCACAAAATAGTTGAGGTAGGAAAGGAGATCTGGAGAACAGCTAGTCCAAACACCCTACTCAAAGCAGGATCAGCTAGATCAGCTTTCTCAGGACTGTGTCCAGCTAGTTTTGAATATCTCCAAGGATGGAGACTCTACAACCTGCCTGCGAAAACTGTTCTAATGTTTGACCACCACCTCCATTTTTTTTCAGACATTTCAGTTGAATTTCCCGTATTTCAGTTTGTGCCCATTGCCTCTTGTTCTGTCACTGGGCACCACTGAGAAGAGTCTGGCCCCATCCTCTTTACACCCTCCCATCAGGTATTTTTACATATTGACAAGAACCCCCTGAGCCTCCTGTTCTCCAGGCTAAACAATGCCACCTCTTTCAGCCTCCTTTTTATATGACAGATGCTCCAGTCCCTTCATCATCTTATGGCTGTTCTCTGGACTGCCTCCAGCATGCCAATGTCTCTCTTGTACTGGGAAGCCCTGAACTGGACCCAGCACTACAGCTGTAGTCTCACCAGTGCTAAGTAGAGAGGAAGAATCACCTCCCTCGACCTGCTGGCAATGCTCTTCCTAATGAAGCCCCAGAGGTTGCATGCAGGTTGCAAGCAGGTTGTGGCCTGCTTTGCCAGAGGGGCACAATGCTGCATCATTTTCAACTCGGTGTTGATCAGGACCCACAGGTCTTTTTCCGCCAAGCTACTTTCCCGCTGTGTAACCCCCAGTGTGTGCATGGGTTATTCCTCTCTAGGTGCAGGACTTTGCATTTCCGTTTGCTGAACATTATAAGATTCCTGTTAGTCTATTTGTCCAGTCTGTCAAGGTCCTTCTGAATGGCAGCAAAATCATCTAGTTTATCAACCTCCCGGCTTTGTATTGTTCAAAAACTTGCTGAGAGTGAACCCTGTCCCATCATCCAGGTCATTAGCGAATATACTAAAGTGCACTGGATCCATTGTCAACAAAGCCCATCAAGACTTTGTGCTGCTGGTCACAGCCTTTTGGGCCTGGCACGTCAGCCTGTTTTGAGTCAACCTCACCACAAATTTATCTAGTCTGTATTTCATCAGCTTGTCAATGAGGATGTTATGGGAGACAGTGTCAAAAGCCTTACTAAAGTCAAGATAAGCAATATCCTCTACTCTCCTCTTTGCCACCAAGCTAATTGTTTCAGCTAGAAAGGTGTAGAAGACTATCAGGCTTGCCAGTTCATGCTGACTACTCTCAGTCACCTTCTCGTCCTTATGTTTGGAAATGGTTTCTGGGAGGATTTACTCCATCACCTACCCAGGGATTAAGGAGAGGCTTATGAGTCTGTAGTTGCCCTGATCCTACTTCTTGCCCTTCTTGAAGACAGGAGTGACGTTTGCTTTCGTCCAGTCCTCAGGAATCATCCCTGATTGCCATGACTTTTCAAATATAATTAAAATTGGCCTTGCAATGACATCGGCCAGCTATCTCAGCACTCATGAGTCCATCCCATCAAGCCCCATGGACTTATGCATGTCCAATTTGTTTAAATATTCCCTAACTTGTTCCTCCTCTACTGAAGGTAAATCCTCCTTGCTTCAGGCTTTTCCACCGGTCTCAAGGGCCAGGTACTCATGCAGGTGAATCTTATCAGTGAAGACTAAGACAAAGAAGGGTTCATCCCCAGAGTTTGAAAACTGAACCTTCAGTTTCATAATATAACTACTGTCATGGTGTGAAATGGATGGGCACCACATTACTCAGTCTTGTGGCTATTACTGATTGCCAGATACTTCTAAACCAGGGAATGATCACTGTACCCCAGCTCAGATGGTACCAAGTGGCTTGTGTCGTTGCTTAGGCTTCTTCTGAAGCTTCTTCTTTAGCCACTTCTGAAGTAAACTGGTCATGCCCACAGTAGATAGCTTGTGACCTCAGATCACTTCTACATTCCATATGATTTCCCAAGATATTCCTATTATTTTTTTTTCCAGAGAATTTGATATGAGAGTGTTTCTTAGTCTACTAGAGTTGTATTTTTTAGTATTTGTGGCATGAATCTCAATAAGGACATAAGCGGGTATCTGAAGATTCAAAGCTAGGTTGGAGGACTAGGTTACTGTTGGAGGACTATGTAAGTCAGAAGGAGCCAAACCTCATGCAGGTTTGTCCACTGTCTATTGAGGAGATTCTCTGGACTGAACTTTTCCCATAAATGCTCCCTACCCTTGATTTAGGAGGAAAAAATTGGTTACGTCAAAACACACTGTGGCAGTAAACACTTAGGCAGTACGGATAGTCAATACCTAGACCCAAGAATGAAGTGAAGAGTGAAGTTATTTTACAGCATAGGTTATGCTGTAGTTAGTCCTCTGTTCTACTTGCATCTTATAGCTACTCATTCAGTATTAGGTTGTGACATGTACAGATTTATTACTTTTTTAGTGGAAAATCTGAGGCGAGTAATCTTGATTTCTTTCTGACTTGCAGACTAATTTTGCATTCTGAAGGCTAAGAGTATAACGGTAGTGATTTGTGAATTCTCCCATCTGAATGATATATCTGTGTCAATTCTGTAGGCTCCCCCTACAGAAGGATCATATTCTGTGCAGATGAACTGTTCAAAGATGAGAGTAGCAGGCTTCTAATAATGTCTAGTAATTTTCAGATATTTATAGCTGGGCTTAATCAGGATAGATTTAATGTGATTGGCAAAAAAACATCTCTGTGACTGCAGGATTGTCCCTCATCCAAATTCCAGTTTCTTGTTTCAAATCATAAAAACATGTAAAAAGTCTTGGCAAAAACAAACAAACAAACAGACAAACTTTTCAAAAAAAGGTACTTTACCATCAATGTATCCTATGATACAGAAAACATGCAAAAGTACCTCCCCCAAACTTTCCAAGATAAAAGCTATACATAACCACACAACTGTTGATTCAAATAAAACAATTAAAAATGTCAGTCTCAAAGGCTGACACATGGCAAAGTTACCTGTGACTAAACTTGAACCAAAAAATGGAAGTGCTCACTAGTCATTGCTATAGCTTCCTGAATTCCAGCTTACTGATATTTATAATTGAAATGAAAGTTATTTACAAGATGCATATTGCAAAGAACACTGATTGCTTGAAATGAAAAATTTATTTATGAGATATGTTTTACAGAATGCACTGATTTTTTCACAAAATTAAATTATTCAGAATGGAAGCCTATCAATTTTAGGAAATACTGAGCTTCTCTTGTCGCTCAAATTTCAGGCAAGGTCTTTCAATAGAAAAACAGCAAGATAATCATAAACCTGTGTCTGGAGTTTTTCTTATTATAAACTTGAGATTTTTTCCAACCAAAATCTTTCTTTCT